ATGGTTGTTGTCATTTTCTATCTTTCTGTGAAGAACAACCCACCAAGGGGTGTAGACGACCCACTTTACTGTGTAGGACGAGCTTTCGGGCTCAGTCTGGCGAAGCAAGTGCTTGACCATCCCTCACATTGTTCAATATGGCGCCTGGGGGGAGGGTGCAGGTTTCTCTAGAGCCTTTTGACTCACAACCCGACCTGATGAATCCCAAAACCGAGCTCCCCAAACAGATTGAACCATGAATTGGGCCTTCTGACGGGAGTTGGAAGACATTGTGAACCTACATTTGGGCATGCGGCATCCCAAACCAGCGACCGCTGACGATTTCTCTAATCAATTAGCAATCCAAAGTGCACGCCTACATCTTATTTTTTCCAGTCCAACTCCAAATCCCATCCAATTCCCGATCTCGCCGTCCATCTCCACGATCGACTCCAGGGCTGTGCCATCACAGTGCATGGCTGGTCGCCCGCATTGGGCAACTAGGTGAGCAGGGTGGGAAAACAAGAACCATGTAGGGTCAACGTCCCAACCGGGATCGAAGGGGTTCAGGGATCGCCAGGAAGAAGCGGCTCTTTTGCAGGAGAAGGGAATAGGAAGCGTCTCTTTTGCTCAACCTTCCTGAAGACCAAACAAAAACATTTGTCTTCAGTGAGTCAGTCATATGGTGTCCTCGGTGAAAAAACCACCCTTCGGTGTGGGTATCTTGCAATCTTGGGTGACTCCGCTCTTGACATGCCGATCATGTTGACATTGTTCATGGAAGACACCCTTTTTTCATCCCTCTGAGACCTGAACTTGTGGTGGCGGTGCCTTTCCCAAATGATTTTCATCAGTCGTTTGCATTAAACTCGAATCATCACCATCTTCCCTTCAAAGCACCGAGTTGCAAACATCCGGGGACTTGGTCGTATTGCACGCCCCGGGAACAGGGTCGTAGCGTAGACCCTGTGGCCTGTGGCATTTTTGCCTGTGGGTCAGAACCTTTGAAGTAGAGGGGAGGCTTGTCTACAAACCATTTGCGCACCCATACTTTCCAACTTCATGTCCAATCCAGCAAGCACGATACACTCTCTGTATCTCACCCCTCACCTCTCCTTCTGCCCGCTTTCAACACACCCGCTTTCCACCCACCGAGGCGGCCACCGACGGTGGCTGCTGTCGGTGGCCCACGCCTTAGGGCCGATGGTGGGCCATTTGAAGCGCAGCAGGGTGCTCCTCTGGGACGTCGAGACGGACATGCCGGTTCGAGAGCTGAAGCTGTGGCATGGACGGGAAGTCGACGTGGGGATGTGGTGCAAGAAACTTGCGTGAAGACGCAAGGGACATTTCTAGCAGTTGCGTTGTTGTGGGTTGTTTGGTACTGGTAGTAGTTCTGACTGGGATTTTAGAACTGGAACTTTAGACTTTTTCTTGGCAAAATTTGGCTTGAAGGTGACTGGAACAAATTCAGCACCATCCCCACACGAGGGTTTGGTAAGCTCCATCCCTCCCATCGCTGGATAATTTCAACCATCCCTCGTGCACCGGGACTGTTGCCATAGGCTGGGTGTTGAGTGGTTTGAGGCTATCGGGATGTGGACTTCTGCTGATGTTGCGAGATGTGGGGGGAAAGATCAGGACTTGGGAAAGGTATGGACAGGTATAGAAAGGTATAGTTAGTTTGGAGAATCAGAATAAAGATAACTGCTCAGAGACTTTTAGGAACTGCAGAAGAAACATTTGATGTTACATGTTTGCGCCTGTCTGCAGGTCCTTATGAGGTCCAACAGATGCCGAAGAGAAGGTGCCTCACTCATATAATCTTAGTGTCGAGCTCTGACAGGTCCAACGAAGGAGACACACTGAATGACCAGCAAACAACTCCCAAGCTTTTCCTTGCTAGGGTAGCCACATATTTAACAAGCTAGCCTAGGCATAGACTGCAGGGATTGCACAGTCAAACCTACTACTGAATTCTCCGTTGTGGAGTCAATCCAGTCACAATGTCAGTCACCTGCTTGGAGCTTGCCTCACTTACACCGCTCCCAAGCCCAGTGCCTATGTTTCGTTCTCACCGGTGACAGCAGCTGAGCCATGCTTTGCGTGTTCTCTGCGGTGTCTGGCGAAGCCTTGGCCTCCTTGGACGTCGAGGCGAGCGAGGCAGAGCACCAGGTGCGTCGACTGAAGGCGCGGCTGGCGAAGCAACTGGGCGTCTCGCGCTTCCGGCAGAAGCCTGGCGAGAGTGAGGAAAAGGAGACCCAGAGAATGGAAGTACTGTATATTGATCCACAGTTCGACCCCCTGGCAAAAGGATCAAAAAGACCAACACCTAGAGAAGGGGCTTTCCCTGTTTCACTACACACCCATATGACATATAGTAGTTCTATTTTTTTTTTTACATTTTTTGCGTGGAACACCAGAGGGCTTGCACCTGGGCTAGATCATGTTCTTGTGACGTAAATTCAGATAGTGCCAAAGTTTGGGATGTCGTGCGCCTGAGGTGTTAAGACAGGACATTTTTTCATCAGTCATTCCCAGGACTCGGGGGACATCTAGTGCGTGGGACATCTATAGTCCCATTGACTGGGCATCGCACACCGAGCACACCGGATGTATCCTCTGAGAGAAACAAGGTACTAAGCACAGATTTGGGTCCGCCCATGCTTCTTTTGTGGATAACATATGTAATATTATGATTAGTAATATGTATAATATATATATACACATCATAATCACCATATACTAGTACTTGTTAGTGCTGTACAATACGCATAGATACAGATATAACCTTTGGATTCGCGGCTGAAGACTCTGTTTGACATCACTGTCCGACAAACTGGTTCCTTTGGTGCTGTGACAACCAGGAGTTTCAAGCGGAGGGTTCAGAAGTTGGACTTGAAGTGAAGAACGGAGATCCCCTCAAAGATCATCCCTTTGTAAGCTCTCAGACAAGTTCTTGGCAGGGATGCCTGGGGTACAATTCTGATCAATTCTGTATAATTGATGTTTGTCTCTCCTCATTGATGTTTGTCTCTCCTCATCCAAGGAGATGGCTGGGCGAGGACCACAGTGAGTTGCCAGATGATGCCATGCTGGATTTCTCCGCACAGAACGTTCCGGTGCTGAATGTACAGCTGGTCATCCTGGAGTTCGTTGAAGCAGCTGAGACACCTGGGAGTGCTCAAGATGTTTTTGGTTTCAACACATTTCAACACACACACACGTATATATATATATACACATTATACACATACCCTGAGAATCCTGGCCCTCAAATGGGAATGGTTTTGAGGCCTGCTATGGAGATGCCATGGAGGGCCCAAGGATTCTTAGGGATATAAAGGAAGACATATATGTTATACAGATTATTTAGATATATGACATGGATATTGACGGTATTTGAGAGTATGGGTCCCGCTGGTTCAGCGATTTGCCAGATCTGTAGAGCCTGTGAGGGTGATTGCACAGAGTGGCCCAGTGTTGCGAGGTCTTCATGAATTCGACGTGCGAGGGTTTTGGTTGTCAAATTCTGCCTCAAGAGATCTTTGCAAGAGATCTTTGTCCTTTTATTGTCTTGGCTTGAGCGTCTTTCTTTCCTTCTTGGTGCTGAAACCAGGCAAAGCGACCAGCTGGTTTCTGCATGCGACAAGAATTGCTGGGAGGAGGTGGAAGCCCTATTGTGCACGCCTCTGTCTCCGACTTCTTTTCGAGATCAACTGGGCCGACCCGCCTTACATGCGGCGGCACGCAATGGGCATTGGCAATGCATTCGTTTGCTCCTGGAAGCGGATGCAGAGAAGGATGAAGCTATCTTAGGTGGTGATGTTTGCACCCCACTGTTCGGATGTGTTTTTAGTAGATCTGTTGTCAAATGGAGAGGCTCGGCCAAAAGGCCAAAAAGGCCAAAGCCCCCACAAAGCTCCTGGTTTCGCTTGGACCTTTTTCGTCCATCTTACGCTTGGCAGGTCTGACAGCTTTGCATTTGGCAGCTCAGAGAGGCCACGTCGGAGTGGTACGTCTCCTGTTGGAGGCGGCTTGTGACCTACACTTGGTCACGTTGAAACAGCACGAAACTGCGCTGCACTTGGCAGCTGATCATGGTCATCCTGAAGTGGTGGCACTCTTGTTGGAGATGAAGGCTGAGAAGGACCAGGGATTTTGGAGCAGTTGTACCTCCTGAAGATTAAGATGGACCCTGAAAATCATTGGGTGGTAGAACGTACATGAGAATAGTCTTACAGGGCTCCACTTTCGCGGTCGGTAATATCTGGTTGGTTCTGGCTCTTTTCTTTTGCCTTTTGCCGCCTGTATACCTTTTGGTGGCTTCTTGTGGCTGTTGCGGCTTTTAGCATTGGATTGGCCAGTGCATCCAATTGAGTTTGGATTAACAATAGACTACATCACTCACAAGCCCACTCAAGGTCTATACATACCTCAGAATTCTTTGCGAAGCCGCATGTTCCTACCCACACTGACAGGGAAAAAATCAACGTCTTTGAACAGCCATGAGACTTCCAGGACCAGGCCAGAAGTCGAGATGGGAAAACCCCCTTGCACCTCGCCGCTGAGAAGGGTCACCCAGAGGTGCTTCGACTTTTACTGGCTGCGGGTGCGGAGAAAGAGAAAGTCACTCAGGATGGCGCGACAGCTCTACAGCTGGCAACTCAGAGCCACAGGAGGGCCTGGTCACCTGACTGTCAGTTTGGAACCGGGTAAATTTTGGTAAGGGTTGATTCGTTGATATTCGTTGATCCGGGTTCACTCATGAAACCTAATTAATATGGATCAGTCGCCGAAATCACCACGTATATATATATATATAGTTGGTCAAGGACCGAAAGTTTGATGCCTTGCAGGACGAAGAGAGGAAAACCCGCTGGAACGTCAGAGACTGGGCGGGAAGAGGTGGCACGACTGTTGACTGACACAACAGGACCTGCCACAGCAAGCGAAGGCAGCTGAAGACAGCTCTGAAGTCAAAGCCACTTGCGCTCTGAGAACTTGGGTTAGCTGTATCTTTATCTTGGGTGTCGACAGTGATACCCTGCATGCTGCGGGTTCGCCTGGTGCGCGCCTGGTGCGGCGCCCAGCGGGGTCCAAAGGCGACGGCCGCGATCGAAAAAGACCTTCTGGATCCTTTTGTGTGTGACATCGGGCCGGCGAGAAACCATCATCCAGCGAAGTCCCTCCGGGGGGTTGCCTGTTCATCCATCTGCTGTTCGTGAGATTGAAGCGCTGTCCAACACCCGGTCGACTCGGTCAAAAAACCAGTCTTTATCATATGGCCAGTGTGGCTGTCCAAAGCTCTTTCTTGACGATAAAAGTGGCAGCCCCAAATAGATACAGTGCTCGGGTTTCGACATGCAGCCCTGATGAACATGTGGCGTTTGCTTGCTTCGACCTTTTTACTTTTTACCCAGTATAATTACCAGAAGTTACAAGTCGTATGTGCCCAACCATCCAAAGGGCCAGCCCATCTTTCGCCATCGAAGGGCCCCAGCCAGCTCAGGTTGGAGGACTGCCCCGTGCATCGCTTCCGCTTTGAGCGGTCTGAAGGATCCCCTGGATCCGCCGTGCTGGCGTGCGCGCTGGTGGACGGGCGAAGCCTGCTGGTGGAGATGGACGGTGAGGCGGGTGGAGAAGCAACGAATGAGCTCCATTCGTAACGTCCTTGCTGGGTATGAGTGACTGATCCGGATTAGTTGGACCTCTATGCTGGGTATGGCAGGCTGTAAGGGTCACGATGATCGGAACAGCTCTTCATTCATCGGAATGTTCGAGTTTACTTCCGGGCGATCTTTTGGGTAGGATTGGATGAAGATACTTTTTAGCATTTTCTAACTTTAATATATAGAGTCAGCAATCCTATCCCTCAGGATTCCAACCACCAATCATCTATAATATCATATAATATGTTAGAATATCTATATAATTGGCTTTACCAAACTATCACGGTTTTGTACATCACTAAGGACACTGCAACACCAGGTCGTTCCCATGTTTTCCATGGTCGAGACCGGTGAGAACGGTGATCCATCCCCCAGGCCTCGGTCACCTCCGCCACCATTCTGGGCGACGCATGGAACGGTGCCGCTCCGACGGGCGCCCGCTGGCGCAACTGGCCCCGAGGCGTGTTGGTTTGCAGTGAGGGCAGTGAGGCGTGGGGTGTGTGACTCCATTCTGGGCATCACTGGGCCGGTGCGCATCCATTCACAAGTTGAACACACCCAAACTGCATGCTGCAATAGGTGTTTCCTTCTTCCGGCCCCAAACTTCAGGCATATTTGGTGGACTTAGACCCCACAGACGCCTGGCTTCAAAAGAGTTCAGGTATGCTTAGGTGATTCATTCACCAGCTTCCTTTGTTGTACCAAGCTTACTTCATGGTGCTTTTGTGAAACCAGACTTAGAGTTTAACGGTCGATCATATGTTCAATCCGTTGGTAGTTCCTTTGGTTTTAGGCAGTACGGCAGTACGGTATCTCAAGCAGGGAATTCGATCGATCCATGGACGTGTGGCCGATTTTTGGCTTCCGCCGGACCGCGGCAGGCGCGCAGGACCTACGCCTGCTGCCCTGCCGCCGTGTGGCCATGACCTTGCGGCGGCGTGAGATGGCGGGGGACACCGAGGCACGAGACAGCGATGACGTGCGGTGGCCAGACGCGGTTGGCCACTCCAGCCCGGTCGTAGAGGAGCATTTGGGTCATGAGTATTCGACCTGACATTAAATGATCTTTCACATAGAGGAACATGATTGTTGAGAAGGTCAATGTTCTTTGATTTTCCCAATGGACATCCCTTCCCAATGATCAAGACCCTCCCAGAACTTCTGATTTGGGGGTGGATGTGCTGATTCAAGTCCCAGGGTCGTTTTTTCAAGATGAAGCCTGAACATAGACTCTGTGGGCCCTTTGAAGACGATCTTCCTATGAATATTTTTGGTTGCTCTAAGTCCCAGGGCTTTGTGTGGTCGTGTAAAATATGATGACCCATGGAACTCAGGAAGACTTTCCTATTCTTTGGCTCCCCTCTCTGATTCTTGGTTCCCGAATTCCATCCGTACATGGATGGACCTGTCTAATGGACGCAGATGCACCCTGTCGTTGTTTTGTTTGAAGTTCTAACATGGCAAGGGAAAGCACACCCCGACCCCGCTGTTGAAGTGTCTCCACACTTTGAACAACTCTACAGAATCTATCAACTGATGACTGATGGGTTGGTTTTGACGTTTACTTTTCTGTGATCCCCACTGGGAGGGACATCCCGTGCAGAAGAGATGGATGTGAGCTGCGATCACGACCCAAAACGAGACATCCGATGCCTGTGTCGCACCCTGAATACAGATAGGAGATGGTAGGAGCCCAGCATGAAATCAATAAGGGCCACGAAAGAACATCACTTTGACTACAGTGCAGAGTGTGCAGACCTATCTGACCTATCTTCAATTTCATGTGATGCTGACCGGGACATGTTGTACCTGATGTGAAGAAGCCTTCACATACCATCCAACCAAGCCAAGCTTTGATCCCTCAACCAAGCGGAACTTGTTTCATTCTTTTGGAACTGGTCCAGGCGGGCGACGCCGTGGTAGAGCCTTGGATGACCTGAATGACCGGGAGGCTTGGGGCTTTTCGCAGATGGACCCATTCTGGAACATCTAGGCCGTGCGGCCGAGAAACAACTTGGAGATGTGAAGAGGGTGAGGAAGTCGGGTCCGTTCTTTTGACCTTTGAGGGTCTGGATGTACCCTCCTGAAGACTAACATGGACCCTGAAAACCACTCGTTCGTAGAGGAAAGCAGTCTTTCAGGGTGCCATCCTCAGGGTCCATGCTAGTTCCGCGAGTGTAGCCTGTTTGTCGGGGCTCCCCTCACTTGACCAAGATTCACTTCTTGTATTAGACAACTTGCAATCTGCAAGCTGACCATGTGGTATTTGCAATATCTCGCTGTTTCTTCAAGGGCGACGTAGCTTTCGGAGCGATTTGGGGAAACATGTTTGACTCGGAAACGACACTAAAGCCATCCGACCAGAAGGATTGTCCCGTAGCTTTGCCTAGGGCTTAGGCCTATAGAAGCATGTCTTGGACGATTCCATCCAGTTATCCAGTTATTCAGTTATCCAGTTATCCATCCATCCATCCATCCATCCATCATGAATGATGACAGCAATTTTGGCAGCAATTTAGGCACACAAAGAGAGAGGTTTTCACCATTCTTCACCCAGATCCTGAAAACTCACTCACTCCTTCACGGGACGAAACGAGCACTTCCATCTGAATTGGACTGAGGTCTATGGCCGGAGCTTCGAAAGCAGCAACTACAGGTGCTTCGAACGCCCAGATCAGGGGGCCTTCGCTCGCCCCCAAGACGACTCGCCATGGACGGGTCGTTCTAGGGCCGATGAGGTCGTGGACGGGTGAAGAGCCCTTTTTGCCGAGGTGAGGAGCTCCAAATGGATCGATTGGACGTTTGATTCGGCCTATCGCCTTGATCTGTTTGGGCAACGAAGGGTTCCACCCGACAGGATTCATTGGGAAGATATGGGAAGGATGATTTTTGCTGTCAGGGTTCTATACTGGAAAATCAACAGGACAAGCATGACAAGTCCATGTTCCCTGCACCCAAATTTCCTGTCGAGAATTCCCGTTTTCCTGGCGCCATGATGCAAATCAAGGCAGCTGATGCTGGGACGCAGCATGGAGGCGGATGTGCCCAAGAGTCCAGATGCGGCCATCAAGAGAGCCTCATCCGTATGCGGTGTTGGAGTGTTGTCATTGAAACACCGTCAGACTTTCTTTAAACAATCCTCAGCACCCTGTTCTGTCTGCTGTTCTTGGGAAGGGGCGAAAAACATAACCGGTCTTGCAACGCTCCACTGGTGCTGGAGCAGCTTAGAACTTGGCAGGGACATTGTCATTTTCTTTGGAGGGAGGGGTGGCAAACTCTATAGCCCCTACAAATCATAGAAGGCACTAGAATAACTACCCAAAGGTTTTTGCTGTATCCACAAAAGGTCAGGGTCCATGGGGGTGCAAGGTCCGGTGGCACGAGTTTCTGGCTTCAACCAGCCCAACCAACTCCGAGAAACCGCTCCGGGCACTTCCAGCGTGCAGAACACCCCTGAACGAGGCCTCAGTTCGTTCCAAAGTTCGTTCCAAAGACCAGATCGAACGAGGCCTCAGCAGCTTCCTCGCCTCGCGCAGCTTCCCCGACGCGACGGCGGAACTCGAGCGTTCGCTGCGCAGAGCTGCGAAGCCCACGGCGGCGACGTTGCTCGGAGCCGGTGCGAAGAGAAGTACGGGTCCTCGTTGTTTCTCGGGTGAGGCGAGACTGTTGGAAAGAATCCATCACCTCCTGACATATAGATTCAGATAGCTAAATTATAGTCATATAAGATCATATAAGTATTATACAGTACATACGAATGTATGAATTCCACCATTGGCCAGGTTTGCTGCAGGGTCTTTTGTGCATAGGTGTCCGACCCCCCACCCTCTCCCTGTTTGCAAAATCCCATGTGATCCTAGGTGAACATGATCAATCACACAGCAGGATCACACATCCGAGCTTCGATGGATTTGCCTCGTTCGACTGAGGCTTTTGCTGGAGCCAGGGAGTCACGCAGCGGCCCAATTGGAGGGGCAGCTGCAGGCGAAGTCACTGGGCATGTCGGGTCCCTTCCAGGAAGCTTGAAGGTTTGGAACAAACCATGATGAGGGACCATTGATGGAAGAGCCTCTCGCATTTGTCTCAGAAAGACCAAAGTGGTGATCTGGTATGGGCCTCGGAGAGCGTGGAAGGCCTTTCTGGTGTCCTAGCAGATACAGGACAGCGAACATCCAGCTGCAGGTGTCAATTCTGTGCATTCAACCCATGACACGCAGCAATCAGCTCGTGATGCTCAAAAGTTCAACCTTTTATATCCGTTAGAGATCTTTTCTGTCAACCCTTTAGGGTCAACCTATTTATGATTTACCTTCTTTGCTTTCCTCGCAGATCCGAAGTTTCGCCAGGCCGCGCTGCTGTGGTGCGCCGATCCGCCGCTGGAGCTCGGCGAGGACGGGGCCGATGGTCAACCTCCATGGACCGACCGAGGTTCATCGGCTTCAGCATCCGGCAGGTCTTTGTCATCAAGATGTTTGGATCGGACCAGAGGTCTTTTCTGTGTAGGTGGAAGAACTAGACATTCACATCTTTATACCATATATTAATATATATATATACATACATGAAAACGACTGGAAACCAGATTTCAATAGTCTTGAATTTGGATTTGAGCTCTGTCCAGGTACCTGACTGTGTCCTTCTGCAACACTCTAGAATCTAGTTGCAAGTCTTTGTGGTAATACACTTCCCACTTTCAGTTGAATCCAAACTTATCCGGTTCTTTTTCATGTGTGAAGATTTCTTGATCTTGAATTCAATTGCACGCCTGGGGCATTGTAGTGTTAACAATTCAGCTTTCATTTGGATTTCAGCAGCTTGCTTTCGTATTCAAAATTGGTCGAACTCTGATTCAAGCTTTTTAGCATCGCGGACAGAGTCAACTCTAAATTCGAGTCGTGTTTGTGTCCTTTTCTTGCTTGGTTGGATGCTTGGCCTGAACCAAGCTTGGGATTTCTTTTCTTCAGCCCTCTTTGTGCTAGCAGTTTATCTATATATATACAGGGATCTCTGAGCGGCTTTTTCCTATGTTTTGCCGTAGAAAGCCAGGTCATGTAGAAGCTGTGGACCAACCAGCGGATGACCTTCGGTCAGAACAACAGAGTTTGTGTCAGATTGCCGAGTGCGACTCTTCTGGAGCTGTTGTGGCTGTCCTGCAGACCCGAAGGGGGAAATAACAAGGGCGGCGGGAACAAGAGAAAGAATTGGGTTGACATTCGGAAAGATGAAATAGGGGACGGAGAGACGCTTCGCACAGCAGCACAGAGGTGATTGTCTCAAAGAAAGGTGTTGCACTCTACTTGGACTACCCGCAGCAACAAAGGGAAAGCAACCTTGATTGTCACGCGCCCTTTTGGGCTATTGCATTTTCCGCTAGTCTTGCGGTTGAGCCTCCGATGGAAGATTGTTACGTATACCTCCGCACTTTGCCCCACCTGTTTGCAGACAAATTCGAGACAGGTTTGCCAGCTATGACGCCTACTGCCCACAACCTACGAAAACGAACTGTTCATTCAAGCTGCCAGTCACCAGCTCCTGCAACCTATACCTGGGCCCACAACATGCATTTATAAACGGTCGACCTCCAATTCCTGTTTCAGAAACAGGCGTTTCGCAAAACATCCGAAATTGTGAAAGTTAGACTCATGATGAATCCTAGGGTGATAACCCCTGAACTGAACTCCTGGATGCCCCCGGCCTTTTCCTTGTGCTCCAAACTCAAGTCTCTTGCAACAAAGCCCTTTGTAGAGCAACAAGATACCTGAAAATAACCTTCCTCCCTTGAACCTTTGGTGACACACGCCGGGATAAGCGAGCGACGTGTCCTACGAAGTCCTCGCACATGAATGTGGAAAAAGCTACGCAGTTCAAGACTGACGTCCGGTCATGTCTGTGCTGCGTCAGCATCTCCAGCACCAGATGCGCAAAGGCGTGTGCCTTCGGCTTGAGCTTATACAATGCCTTCTTCAAAGAAAATGCCATTTTGGCAAGCTTCTCATAGCTCAGTAAGAAAGCATTCCCCGCACTGATTGCTTGATGAGCTTCATCCCCTGTCAAAAAGAAACCTGCTTTGAAAAGAGTCCTCAAAAATGCCCCAATAGACTTGCATGCGTCCTGTATCAAGACCAACATGGGCCGATCGACGCCACCCTGATTCTCAACGAGGATCTCCGACAAAAGAAACTCTATAAATTTTGTAACCTTCCCGGTGTCCATCCCCTTGCTCCACTTCCCCTTGGGGTAGTTGCGGGGTCCATCATAGTCAAGCAAGTCCCATGTAAATTTCCCAAAGTGAACGGAAGATTTGCTAATGTGTTGCCACCGCCGCAGCTCTTCATTCAAGAACGACATGGACTCACTTTTGGACTTCTTTTTCATGACACCCTTCAACATGAACACCAATGAGCTTCCGCAGAAGTCCTTTCCCAGCCCACTGTACCAAATATGAAACAAGTCGCCCTTGAAAAAGTTTGCAAGGTTCTGCTGTTCAGCTGCAATGTGAGCAAGCAAAGGAGGGGGTTCGTTCCAGGGCAGAAAGTTGTGGATGCCGGTTGTGGACACCCACTGAGCAGACAAAATGTCCAAGTGCTCATAAGGAGGTCCATGGGTCTTTCCAGCAGCACACAAATGACACACCCCTGGCAGAAGGGTCTCAGCACGAGCAGACTTGCGAATATTGTTGAATGAGCGGTTCATCAAACCAGCATCACGTATAAATGGCGCGTCCCCCACCATACCCAACACAGCAAATCTGAATGTACGACCACTGCACATCAATCCATCATTGAACAAGGCGTGCATGTTTTTTCCCCAGGCATCCATCAAGTCATAGAAAATGGACTTGTCATTCTTGATGTAGTTGTTGTGCAACGCAGCAAACAAGAAACGATTCCCAAGCGAATTTCCTAAAAGATTGATGCCCATGGCAACCTCATCTTCGCCCATGGCGGCAGCTTCCATTCCTCGAGGCCTCTTCCGGTTTGGAGGGGCGCTTCCAGATGGTTGCATATCAGGGACAGGATGTTTAGCGCTGCCCATCCCCAAAGCTGGGTACATGCTGCATATGAGAATGCTCTCTTTCTTGTATGTCCTTCCTCCATCACCGTGCAAGTAGTACGGGACCAAGTTGGCAAAGTCTTCATTTGCAAGACCACTGTGGAAGATCTCATGGTTTGGGTAAGACAGTCGGTACTTTTGCCAAAACCCCCTCAATGTCTCAGAGGCGCGTTGGAGTGGCACGCCCAAAACCTTCTGAATGTAGCCTCTCTTTGCAATTGACGAGAGGACATCTTTTGGTAAAAGCACTGGGTAAGTGAAGTCGTTGTCACCCAACTTCAGATTGTGTATGGGGATGTCCAACGCTTGCCCACATTTCAGCAGCGTCTTGAACAGGGGGGTGTCAGCATCGTTGATGCGTATCGAAGCAATGCGATTCAGAACGGGGCACGGGTCACATTTGGAAGCTGCCGTAGCTTCCTCAATGCAGTCGATGGCAGGAACCTAGGGCACACGGGCAAATGAGGCTAATGAAGTATGTTTTTAGCATCCAGGCCACTATCTCCCAAAGGTTTGCCACTTGAGGCTTGAGGCATCAGAGTCTTGAAAAGTCTGAAATGCATGAGCCGAATTGATCGAGCGAGCAAATGCAGGCGCGGGGCTCCACGACTGTAGTTCTTTGCGATGTGCTTGACTGAGTCGCTCAGCTCCAAGGGACGCTGACCTGGCAATTGCGCACGCTGATATCTCAACTGTTTGGTGATTTGGTGTATACGGCATGATGCAAAGGAGCTGAGGGTCAGGTTGACACCGCTGAAGCTTGCAGATCGAACCGCTTTACCTTTTCTGTTCCGCTAGCATTGCGAGTGACATAGCCACATCCCCAAAAGCAACTCAGGTTCTAGGGTGTTCATAAACACCGTTCCCAAGTTGTTAGACCCAGTAGGCCACATGCCACTACAGATAGGTGATCATCATATCACCATGTTGGAACAGCTTACTTTGAAACTTCAGCTGAAACGGTAAAGAATCACTCCTCATGCTTCACCTTCGCCTTCTTGACCTTCGCGACATAAAGCCTGAGCATAAACATCATCCCCAAAGTCACCCCGAAGTTTGAGCAACTGCTGGGTTGAGCTATGAACAGCGCAGATACTCAGGACTCGACTTGGCTGCATTTTCAATGCTGGTGGCCTTCGTCATCCTTGGCGGCAGGCACTTTACCAAGCATCTGTTTATAACATGGTCGTTTCAGGTTGCACGTATATATATATATATATATGAAGGGCATGCAAAAATGCAGTCAAGGCGAGTTTCTCTCTTTGAGCGGTCTTGTAGTGCAACTCCAACTGTTTGCATTGCCTTGTTGGGAGGCCATGCTGTTTGGATGTTCCAAGAACACCTTGACCATCTTGATATACCTAATGTCAAAGTAAGGAAACCAAATGGAAACCAACAGTTTTGCAAACAAAACACTCATTGGTGTATTGTCCAGCGCTCTCACCTTCAGCCTGGACTTCGGTCATCAATTCGTACGCGTCCTCCAGGGATTTGCGGATGGCAATCATCTTCGCGACCGTCCTTTGCCGAGCCAAGGTGAATCAATGGAGAACAGGCGCAACGACAAGAAAGCAGGTGAACGCAGTGGAGACTTGCAGCTCGATGTTATGAATTTTTGGGCTGGGGGTTGTGGGTGGCATACGATCATTGAAAGACCAGGTTCGCTTGACATGACTTGTCAGAATAGTCTTGGATCTTGTCAAGGAGGTTGGTCAGCTTGTTCATTCCCGGTAAAGTCCCTTTCAACATATCAGGGAGCCTGGCTGGAGCCTTAGGTGTACAACATGCAATCGAAAAACAGGTCCCAAGTTGCTCAAAGTTGATGTTTCCAAAGTGTTGCGTTTTTGTGTGACAATGCATCCATACATGCAAGTTAAGACTGCATGCGTGCGTGCGACACTTTTGTTTGCATCGCCCTCCAGTTGCAAGTCCCCCGGAGTACCCAAGTCATCCATGAAGCCTCCAACGCTGAAATCCATAGAGGGCATGCAATCCTGAGCATCAGCCTCTTGCTCAAACTCACGCTTTCTGGAGAGACGTTCAACATCTTCTCGTTTCAAAGAACCCTCCGTGCGCGTATTGACCCAGTACTCGTAGGTCGACTCATCATACTCACACTTCCTTAGATTCTTGAAGCCAAACTTCATGCATATATAGCTCTAGTCCATGAAGACAAAGCTGCACGCAACACAATGTTTGAGGCCATGAAACCGGGTGAGCTTGTTGGCGACGGCCCACTTCACAATCTTGTCAATTCTTTCCCTTGGCTTTGGGAGGTCCCCCATGCCCGAAACAAAAAAGACTCGATACCAAAAAGGCAGGAATATAAACCACTATAGTTGAGGCAATGGGCTGGGAATACTTCAGCTCGTTTTTCATATCCTCAATTGTATAGAACCCCCCCTTTCACCTCCAAGGTCTTGGTCTTTGTGGTGATCGACAAGATCTCCACCCGTTCGATGAATACCGCCTGCGTGCAGGCAAGCAGTGCTTTAATGGACCCATCAATGCAAGGGCTTACGCTAATATAAAACTTGAGAAATCGGAATAAAACTCCTTGCAGCTCACCTGCCAACCCTGCCTTCACACCACCTGATTTGCACCACAAAGAGAACAACTTGGCTTTCCCTTTTTCTGTGTTCCACAGAGTCGTGATGTCTTCTGGGACTTCGAGGCGGCCCGTGGTAGGTTTTGGGGAAATAATCCTTCGCACTTGCTCTTTCTGGGCGCGGGTCATACTGCTGGGATGCAAGATCACTGGAACAACCCACGATCCATCGTCCCTCTCGCCAGGGCCCCCGTGGGCCGCACTTGGAGGAACCTTGGCAGAGCAACACGGCAATGGTGTCGGGACACTCAAGATCCTCAAAAAGTCACAAAATAAACACTGACATGCTGTGCCGGTATAATTTTACAGTCTTAGAACGGTTTCGCGTTCGCTGGGTTCTGCCGGTGCAGATTCCCGTTCGCTGGGTTCTGCCGGTGCAGCTTCCCGTTGTGCATCACCAGTCTCCTCCGAGCACACGGCTGAAATAAGAGGTGTCCGGCAAAGCCCGTTCTGGTCACCAAAAAAGCACAGTTGCGGACACCTTGAAATCGAATCCGCATGTGGCATGCACATTGTCTAAAACCCGTTCCTTCTGTGCGATAGGGGTGGATGGCGCCGCCGCAACAGGTGTCATATTAACCAATGAAGCACGTGCCGATGGAGAGTGACCCTCCGGAAAAAACCAATGAGCTTTGCCCCGGTCCATCTTCAGGGGAACTCATGACCTCCTCAAGATCCAAGTGCAGCGACCGGTTCACAGGTTTGTTGTCAGACAAGCCAGGCGCCTTTGATGGTGTGGGGGCCGTCAACCGCCTGATCCTATCATCCAATTTCAATGGACGGGCAACCTTGCTGGTTTCGTTTCTAGGTTGACTTGGAACTTGTGAATCGTCCAACAAAGTAGGCATGGCTGCAGCCATGGATGGCCTGGCCACAGACCTGATCACATCCAATGTGGGCTCAACCGCGTATGGTGAGGTAGGCTTCGGTAGCTGCCGGAACGCAGCCTCAACCTCCAAACCCGGAGTAGGACCACTTGCCTCGCAAAGATTAATTATCATGAGGATTCAGGGATCCCTCCCAAAAAAGACCTTCAAAATGGGTCGGCTAAAAAAAACAAAAAACGTGAACCCAAATGACGGATGATCAGAGCATACCTGCGAGACTCTACACTTACATGCTGTTTTCTCTCAACAACACGAGTGAAACACCTAAGGATGGGCCTCCCGAGATTTGAACTGCTCCCTCCATTGCTGCAGCTCTTCTGCGGTGGCTGGGATTGTGGTAGCTGTCGATGCAGTGCGCTCGTATGGGACTGGAGAAGTGATTGGGGGATCACTGGGTGGAAGCGCAGCCAAACCTTCCAATACCTAGGCCACAAGGTGGATGTTCATGCAGGGACCAATGCTTTAATTGAACTTTCATGGCAGAATTGGGTGCCTAGCCTCAACAAGCTTCTGCAGTTCTGCAGGGTCATCAGGTAGTTGTGCATCTAAATCCCCCCAAAACATCTATCTGTGCATCAGACTCCATAGCTTTCACGGCGGACAAAAGAGTCGCAGCCGACCACTGGTGCAGCAACAAAGGAGAACCCGGCGTGGTCATACCTGCAAACAAAGACCCGTGCACGCGCATTCCACATTTTTCGAGCTTTTTAGAAACAGTTCGTGAGGAAACGATCAAACATTCACAAATTTCCGAACAATTTTCGTGCATGGATGAAACCGCACGTTGCATGCCTCTACATGGACGTTTCATGCCTGTACATGGATGTTTTACGAAATTGTGTTTCGCGAAAAACTTCTCCAGCACATCGAAAAAGACTGCGGTATTCAGCTTCGAACTTTATCGACTGACCTTTTTCGTGTTTTCCTGAACTCATTTCGAGATTCCCCGAATCATCCCAATCCAGGCCTCCCAAAAGAAGCTTCGAAGATATAGGGCACGGAGCTTGAGAGAACTCTTCGATACATATATATATATATATCATATATCGATTGATATATGAATACAGCTCGCTGGACACGTGCATGCCATGAAGTAAATCAAACAACACTTGCGATGCACATGGTCCTTTTACCCGGACCCCAAATGGTGGTGACCGGTGTGCATTCACACCTGGATCGAGCCATCACATGCCAGTGGCGTGTTCACACCAAACATGTGTTACACCAAAGTCCCCATATCTGCAGGAACTATCCATTCCCAACCACTTGGAATGTTTAAGCCTTTGGCTCCCAAAAGGTAACGGACTACTTCCTTCATGTATGCGTCATCCCATGTGTCATGGTCAATGCGATCCACCCAAAGACGACAAAATTCTTCTTGGACATCTCCATCAGGTGGGGAGACCTTGTTCACCATCTTCGGGTACAGAAAGGCGGCTCGTTTGGCGAAGGTTTTGGTGTAAGTCCTCAATGGCCATGACACTAAAAAGAAACCCTGTCCCATGCATGGATTAATTACCTGCAGCATGAACATTCAATTTTGAGAACTCCATGCGCATGCATTCAATGACTGAATTGCCGGCTAGAATCTGTGTAGCTGTTAAATGCTTCGTTCCATGAAATCGAACTCGGCCTTTGGCATCCTTGTATTGTACAACTGGTAGGGTTCCCTTCTTTTGCTGGTTCCTCTTCAATTTCTGTCTCATTTTTTTTGGACATACGGCCCTGCCAGAAGTATGCAATGACCCTCGAGTTGCTCCATAGGCATGTCCGCTTCGGTGAGGGATGGTCATAATGCCCCATCCAGAACCATGTTCGCCAGATCTGCAAGCGGATGGGATATATAAGTCAGCTCGAAACTTGCTCCAACTTAGAGAACAACAATGAACAACAAAGACAACCATGGGAGATCAAGAGGACACAAATTACATGCATGTTTATCGCGTATATCATTTTTGCGCTCTCTCTTGCAAGTATACAACCTGCAGGAATGCGGGCCTTGTGAATCCCACAAAGTTGTTGGAAGCGGTCGTGTCGCGCAAGCAGACTGCTAGCTGGCTGCTCAACTATCATGACAGCACCCAAAGCTATCACTAGCCACGCCAACAATACACTCCTGACGCACACAGAACACATAAACATCGAGGTATCGATCTAGGCTAATTGCAAACACCATATGATGACTTATATATAGGAAGCAGTCCTCCCCACCATTGCATTGGAAAGCTGCACACATTGGGATTCTTTGTACCCCATAGGGTCCAAGTAGGATCGACCACACGAAGGCTGTGAAATAGCTACCCAAGTGCTGCATTTGACCCCCCATCCAAACCACGAAGTTACCACCAGGCAGCCCTCGTAAGACTGACACCAAATGGGTCCTGAGGTCCATACAAGACAGCGGGGACGTTGTTTAATATATATATAAGGCATATAAACAGACATATTATAATATAGTGTGTGTGGACAAGTTTGATCAAGACATCAAATCGAGGCCCCTACGCAAATCCAGCTGGTGTCAACAAGTCATGACCCCTGTGGTAGGCCAGATCCAATCTGGCAGACGGGCCATGCTCCTCCCTCATCACATTGGTCAATTGACCATACCCAGCGTAGTGCTCGATGAAGCAAAAGTCCTGCGATGAGAATCGATAGGGTTTAAGTTTATAAAGGTTGCGCACGTCCTTAGTTGCAATTTTCAGGGGTCTGAAGATGATCTTCTGTATAGCTCCCTCACAAATAACAATCCTGGGACAGGTTCAGCCGCTGATTCCAAAGAGTCAATAGCACCAGCAGCACCAGGATCTGCACAGGTTCAAAAAAGGATATCCACCTTTTCTGGCATCGTTGGCTATATATACATAGAGCATGCAATTGAACAACCGGCCTTTGGTGCGTTGGCCCTCATCAGCTGAACCGCTACTTGGAAGGGGTCCCGACGAGCCGGCATGAGTAAATCCAGGGGCAGCTGAAGTGAAACTGAGCCCGGTAATTGTGCTGCGTGAATGGTTGAGTCAAGTTTTGGTGAGATTCATCATCACAGGTGCTGCAAGTACCCAATCCCGGATAAGCATGTCAGTCACACTCAGCAGCTCTTGCGCGTCACCCAAGGAATGGATGGCCAAGACATTCGTTGGCATGTACCTGGAGAGGGCAGAAGTGGCCGGCAGAATGACACCAAGACAGGCTAGATCCTTCTCGCCTGTCTTGGAGGGGTTTTGGACCATGGGTGGACGGGCAGAACACATCCCAACTCCTTTTTCACATTGAACTCACTGGCTCACGTCTACCGTTGCAGCAGGCTGCACATGCATTGGGTTGATGGTGGCGGCGATTTTCTGTTCAAAGCAAAGGTCATCGCGTTAGAGAAGATGACTCTTAACAGAATGATGTGGTGTTTTTCACAAAGACACCGAATACCCCAAGCAGCCTACTGCAGCCAACTGCCTCCCCATAGGAAACTTCAAATCCAAAATCTGCCCTCATCAGAAGTTTGGAGCATAGAGCAAAAGAACTGCCACATGGCCTTTGGCCCAGCATCGCGCTGGTCGATGCCACTACGATTCACCATCCTGGGTAGCCTTCAGGAATTCAACCCCATCTCCATTCAAGTTCTCGCCTTAGTTAAGGAAACGGATACCATACCAGCAGGGTGGGATATATTATAACCGCTTAAGGTACCGTGTTCTTAGGCCCAATCTCTCATGGATTCTTTTTGACTATAAACACCATTGAAAACTTACAAGTTGCTCATTTCAGGCTGGCGCAGGAATTCGTGAGCCAGTTCCTGATTGATCACATCCTTCAAACTGTGTTGTTCATCGGCATGGTCCCAATGATGTTCACAAAAAAGCCACCAGTTCTCCTATCAGGCACCCATGGAATATATACTATATTGGTGAGACATACGCGGCTTAAAAAAAAACTTGTTGCTGGCATGCGAACCAGTCCTCGCACCAAGTATGACCCGTCAAATACTTGCGCAAGTCGACATTGTACACATCACGAATCCGGTCAAATTTCAAGCTGTTCTGCTTTGAGGTTGGGCGGTAGCGTTTCGCAAAGGTAGCCTTTTCTCCTGCCTTCTTCTGGGGGGCCGTCTTTGTCTTTGGGTTTCTTCTTGGGGGCTACCTTGGGTTTGGGTTCCTTGCCCTTGCCGTCCTTCCTGCCCTTCTTGCCCTTTGGGTTCTTCTTAGTCTTCTTTGCCTTCTTCTTTCTCTCCTTTGCCTTTGCCTTTGCCTTTGCCTTACCTTTCGTACCAGGGCGTTTCCTCACTTTGACAGAACTTGAATTTGAAGAAGAATCGGAAACTGCCTCCTCCTCCTCCTCCCCTTCCTCCTCCTCTTCTGATTCCTCTTCCTCTTCCTCCGTTTCCTCTTTCTTCTTTGTCTTGACAGGTTTGGGGGGGGTGTTTCGGCTTTCCTTCACTCTTCCTGGCCCTCTTGCCCTCAGGCTCCTCTTCCATGGGTTCCTGATCCTCATCATCATTTCTTTTCTTTTTGGTCTTCGTTTCTTTCTCCTTCGCCTCTTTTGTCTTCTTCTGGTTCTCCTCTGATTCTCCCTTCTCCTTTGCCTCCTTCTTCTTGTCTACTTTCTGCTGCAACTTGAGTTGGTCTTCCCGGCTGACAAATCCACTCTCCTGCAGGCAAGGTGTGATGTGTGCAACGGGATCGACATTCAAAAAACATTGAAATAGAAACCGCGACGTGGTTCTGAAGTTTTCCAAAACCACTCAACCCCAAAGTTTGTCGAGATCCTCATTGCCGCCACCTGGTTTGGACTTGCCCTGCTCGTTCCGAAGTTCGCTCTCTAGCTCATCCACCACCTGTGTCTCTAGGTTGTCGGCGCGCGTGCCTAAGGTTGGCTGCACTCAAGATATATTACGCAGCGCCGCATACTTGAAGAACATACTGTATCAACCATTTGGGGCACACAAGACTTAAGAATTGCTAAGAAACCTGTACCTCCACTCGAAACTCCATGGCCACCCGGTAAACTAGTTGCGGCGTTGGCCCCAGCACCACTTGCGTCCGGCAAAGCTCCGTCGTCTGTCCTAGGCTGAGGCCAAGGGATGTAATAACAGCACCCATATACGCTAAGTATACAAATGAGTTTCAAAAGGCTATGTTTGTTAATTGAAGCTAGGTTCTTCTTCATTTTGGCCTTGACCATCGTCAGCAAAGCGGAGATTGCTTTGGGATCTATCTTGGCAGAGCTGGCGGCTGTAGAGCTCAGAGCATCTCGACCAGCCCCCCTTGGATTCGTCATCCCCCATGGCCTCAGCGTCCTGACTAGCTAATCCCGCCAACTCCTCGAATGCTTCAAGGGCCTCGAGCTCTGAATTGCTACGGGAGAGGGCTTCTTGAAGGATGAAGTTAGACGGCTGGGGGGGATTCAGGTTCATCCCCAGCATCACTGCCCTCATCATCCTCATCCTCGAATAGAAACGGAGAACGTCCCTCCTTACATGATGGGGCACAGTGTGGAGTGTGGACCCATGCATAAGTTTCTCATGCAGATCTACAGTTGCGTGAAAAATCGATCTACTTTGTACAAATTGAACGTTCATATGTCAGGTGTCCTCATATGCCTTGCTGTGAGCAGCTGCCAGGTCATAGACCAATTCACGAATGTACTTGTCCTAATCTGACGATGGCTCAACGTAAGCTAAACCCCTTGGTGCCCCATTCACTTGAACGCTTGAAGAACCGTGAAAATGAAGCAAAAAATAATGTCATTAGTCCCAGCAACCCTAGGCAGCTCCCACTTTCTCCATTTCCGTTTGATGACTGTCAGCATTTTTTTTGACGACAGCGGCCGTGCCATAGATCACTGTTCTGGGGCCATCAAGCTTAGTATCAAGCTCGGGGTCCATCGACTCATAGAAGTCACTGATTGCTGGTAGGATATATGTCATGTGTTTGGTCAAGATGACGCCCTTCTCCTTCATTGTTTTGGTGTACCCCTTCAAAAGAAGGTAGTTCAGGCGCAGGTTAGGCAACGAAGGGTGAACTATTGCCTTGCCCTCGGCTTCCTTGACCAATGACTTCCGCTGAACTGCAAGCTTGCAAAGCCCGCGCTGCGACTCCCAAAACTCAACACATGGCACGGCATATGAAAAACTTTCTTTGGTTGGTGGCTCGGACATAGTCATGGCTGTTTACCCCCAGCCAGAATGCTGCAGAATACACGCCGTGTCATATACCGATATTAGTCGCACCACATCTTGCAGAACCTCGCAGGAAAGGTTAACCCATACATTCTTTAGAGTTACATTCCCCATCAACCGCCTGCACACACCATCCCCGGAGGCGCACGGCACATCAACTCCAGCAAAGAGCTCGATGGAGATCGCGCAGAGAAAGACACAGCGAATCGGGGCGGTGGCGTGTGAGGAAAGTAGTATATTGAAGAGGG